CCGGTATTTTAAATTGTATAACTATCAGTTCAAAGTTTCAATATGATTAGTCATCTAGTATTGTTGATATGGCAACACTAAATCCAGTGCCAATTGTCCGTATGATAACAATATGGGAGACAAATCCATGCCTAGCACACTTAAATAACCTACCACAATAAATTCCTGAGTATTTAAGATTCATTTTTTGATCCCTAAATGAGAAATTTTTCATTTCCAATAGCAATTTTTGCATGCTATCTTAACTTATATCAGCCGTTAGGCGTTATAATTCCTCCATCTATTGGAACATCCAGGCTCTGCAGCACCAAACCCGGATGTCATTACAGTACAGGGATTTTCCTTTTAAAAAAAGTTATTGCCATCTTGAAAAGAGGTGTGATCCTTCTTGGGATGTTCTCAGGACTATAGTTCTGGCACAGATTAAGGCAACACTTCTGGAATGGATCACCCTGTATAGCCCTATAGTGAATTCCAATAATATGGATGTACCCTACTCTTTACTTAAGTACCCAACATAGTGGGGTAATAAAAATTATCTCACAAAAATAATTTCTACCCCATTTTTTGAAGTGACTTGAGTAAAGAGTATATACCAAAAACATTTAGACTAATAGATAGATAGGGAAAAATGGTCCTAATTATTGCATAGTCCTTATTATCGCAAGATTGTCCAAAATAGCTAAAATATGCATCCACCTCTTTTAAACCAGTGTTACTAGCCCCAGCTTAACACCATTCCTCCCAATCTTAATTAATTTATCCATATACTTACAAATAGGTTATCTCTTCAATTTATAAAAATTGTTTACTTCGAAACTGTCAATGCAATATCTTAGATTTGAGTAGAAATAATCTTGATTTACGTCATTCACAAAATTCACAATTCAATCAAACTGGTGTCATATTTGGAATCTACATATAAAATTACATCTAAAAATGTGGTTTCGAAAAGGGTTTATCAACTTTGAAAATTTTCTTTGAAAATGTGACTTCTAGGTCAGGGAGATTCCCCATAGACCCCATGTTGTAAAACTACAAAAAGTGAAATATCTTTTCTTGTGTTGGGCAGATAATATTTTCTTTTACTGGACATATTTTAATTTGTATAACTATCACATACATAAGGGTAATTTGAAAAGTGAACCAGGCGAAACTGGTAACTACCTACTCGCATCTGAGTAATTATGCAAAAAGTGAAATTCTTCTGGTAAAGGTTAACCTCCCTCCAAAAAAAGACAGAAAAGAAGTGAATAATGTATATTGTATATAATGTTGATATTCTACACTAAAACTGATAGAAAAATGATTATATGTTCATTATTATTGTTGATACTCTACACTAAAAATGATAGAAAAATGATTATAGTGTATGTATGTATCTACATGAATTTTAAGCAGTGGAATGACTTATGTTCAAGAACCATGAAATGACAATCAAAACACAACTGAGCGATAATTAGGACGACTTCTGCAATAATTGGGATGACTTCAGAGAAATGCCAAACATAACTTAAAATTTAAATGAAAGTTTGATCTTTCACTTGATACCCTCAAAGTAAGTTGGTTGAAGTTATCATATTTGAGATTGTCATTAGTATTCCCTGAGTTAGGTGTTTGCCAGCCTGCTCTCATTTCCGACCATTTGAGACCTGTATTCCCAAAAACCAACTTGGTTCTATCAACAAGATTTGAAAAACATGTAAAACAGCTCACTCAAAAAGGGATCAAATTAGAAGGTGGCACTAAATGCCAGGACATTAAGTCAAAATAGCAGAATAGTTATCGAAAGTGAAATATACAAACAAATATACACAACATCAAAATCAAAGTGGCAAAGGCAGTACAATAACTCAAAGAAAGTTGGAGAATCTTTCTAGGTGAATCTAACAGAAGGACTTTCTGCATCACTAACCAACTTTTGAGCGAGCATACCAGACAGATTAAAGTCATCAAGAAAATCAACCCAATCCAGGCCACGAATCTCTGCCTAGACTGCGATAAACCAGAAACAATAGAACATTACCTCTTCAAATGTGATAAACTCCAAGAACCTCAGGAGAAACTGTTTCCGCCATTATACAGCTCACTCAGCAGAAAAATGGAGGCCATTTTGAAATAAAATTCCACTTACTCTTGGGTTAATAGCATTCTCCGATCACAGGGCTTCAAAATCCAGAATATATTCTTTCTGTTTACCCCCTGCGATAAGCAGTTAGCATTTCTCCGATTAAGAACTCACAATCTGATTGGCTGTCGCAATACTGCGACAGAAATCATGTATAAGTCATTGCGCATAATTAGATCACGTGATTCAGTTAAATCAGGTGCTTCTAAATTGGTTATAGCAGGGGGAAGAAGGAGGTACAGATTCTGGACACCCGCTTAGGAGGATGGGTTTATAGCTAAATTAAAATATATATAACAATCGATTAAGACGGGGATATGAGCTGATATTCTGCAAATGTATGCATAAAGGTATATTTCATATAATTATGCCATAACAACAGTGCGTGTGTCACCATTACAAATATTGAATCTAAAAGCCGGAATATAGACAAGGCTTTGGACCTAAGTTATGTCTGCACTTCACAGTTCAAAATCAACTTCTGTACTTATTTGACACCACCTTCTGATTTGCCTGACTGACCTTTAATCATTTCTCAAACATATTCTCTAGAGTTACTCACTTCGAGAGCCATGTTAGATTTTGAAACTTATGCCTCTCAAACGGAGGCAGTGGACAGCTGATTAATAGTGACCTTTGAAATCGAATTAAGTCGATCCGCGGCCTACTTTTGTTCTCTAACTATGTTATACATCATTATCATCCTTCTGGGCAAGTATTGGAGCGCTGAAGTACTTCCTTTTCGATCAAGACTTGTAATTGTTAGTCGAGTGAATTCTTTTACTGCCAAATTCCAATATGGCGTTTTCTGCTCGGACATTTTCGTAAATCTCCGGAGGTTGTCCGAACCTAACTAATTCTCAAAATTCATTTCGTTCGTTGCGTATCTCGCCATATTGGAAATAGGTCTAAAAAACATTCACTTGATGAACAATTTACAAGTCTTGATCGAAAAAGAAGTATTTCAGCGCTCTAATACTTACACGGATTGATGATACTGATGTGAGACACAGTTAGAGACCAAAAATAAGCCACGGATCGACTTAATTCGATTTCAACGGTCACAATCATTCAGCTGTCGAAATGCTCCGTGGGAAAGCTATTATATCAAAATCCAAATAGCTTTCGCAGAAAGTAACTCTAGAGAATCAGGAAATTAGGGTGATTCAAGCGGGAAAATTTTGTAGGGAATTTCCAGTCAGAGAGAATGTTCTGGCGAAAGGAGATTCTTGGATTTCAAATTCTTGAAGTTGGGAAACCCGGATGAAAAAAATGAAGTTACCTTTTTTAATTCCCGAATCTCTCCGAAATTAGCTCATCTTGGTGACTGTAAATTGCACAGCTGTATTCAATGGAGTCTTGTCATATTCAATCAGCCTCAATTTTAAAGTGTATATTTTATTTTTAACGTGATTTTATCGTTTTTTGTCGACTGGTAAGAATCCGCTGGGCTAATGGCAAGATGGATGACTTTGACCTGACCTTGACCGATGGCGGTGACGTCATCAATTTTATCTCAACGTTGATTGGTTCAATGATGATTGTTTGGGAAATTTGAATTTAGTTCTCGTAACCTCCCGTGACCTCCCGAATAGGTCACGTGACCTTGCGCCAGAAGTCCGACTTTTTTGTCAGTCGACCTGTTCAAAGTACATTTAGTAATAATTATCGCTTTTCAGAACAATTTAGGAAACAATATTTTCTATCTACGTCGATTACAATTATCGCATCCTACGACCCCTTTAGATTGTGGTCGTAGGCCCGTATTATTAGTAAGCCTGTCTTTCTACAATGTCGGAGAATGAGCTACGCATTGCACTATTAAATGACCTACCTCGATACATTCCAGAGTATTTTAGAATTCTTTTTATGTTGTTAGATTGCCAATTGTATGGGTTTATCGGCAGAACGAAGAGATTTTAGTTTTTACATCGGAAATATATCAGCAATTTTCAAAATGTCGGAAGGGGAATTCATCCGGGAATTTCCCTTATGACTGGTGCATGCCGGGAACTGAATGGAGGAATTTGACGGTTGAAATAAGTTAAATATTACACGCAAATATTGCTATCAAAAACGAAAACCTCTTCGTTCTGCCGATAAACCCACACAATTGTGGATTCAACTACACAAAAAGAATGCTAAAATATCTTAAGTGTAAAAGTGTAAAGTATCTTAAGTGTAAGTAGCGTAGAAAATTCTACCATGTTGTAATCGTACAGACAAAAGAATATGATGTTCGCAAGACTAGAACGTAGAGGTAGTCTTGGAACGAGATAAGATTACAAAGCATCTAAGGTACGTAAATTTATATGAACAACTGAGTCAATAGGGATAAATAGCCCAACGAGAGTCGGCGGTCTTGAAAAATACTTGGATCTGGATGCCAGTCCTGTTATTGATATCATTCCCGTTCGAAGAACGTATTACAGTCTGTTACACTGCTTCAAAGGCAAGCAGTTAAACCTGAAATACAAAACATCTAAATAATATTGTGCAATAATATATAGAAAAATATATTCATATTGCACACGAATGACATTTGTATATGTTGGGTTGCTTGTAAATTGGCTCATAAAGTCTGTAATCTCTTATATTTTGATGCTTCTCTACCATGTTAATTCTCAAAAAAATAACATGGCGGACAGACCTCAAATTACAAGAGGGCACAGGGTTATTGCACTAAACACTAAATAATCTGAAATATACAAATGTCATCCGTGTGCAATATGAATATATTTTTCTATATATTATGGCACAATGGTCTATAGATTTCTTATTTTTCAGGTTCAACTGCTTGCCTTTGAAGCAGTGTAACAGACTGTAGATGTCCGTGGGAATTATAGTCAAAAACTAATCAGTGACAACTTACACTTCCTTCAAGTGTAGCTAGCGCCATCACTGAATTTGAGAAACTGTACTTTTTTCATCCAAGATGAGCATAAACCTAACAGTAAGACTCTTGGTAGACTAGTCTAAGTGAGTGAAAACTGGAACTGGAAAATGTTTTTAGAAAAATTTTCTCAAGAAGGCTTATTGAGGAACTACATACGAAAGCAAGGATTCACTGAATACAGTTCAGTATGAAACTTTGAATATACAACTTCATAATTAACAAGTTAGAGTAACCGTTCCTACCTTCTTGAGGTCATAATCGTTGAAAATATTCTCTTCCTTGTTTTGATCTGTAATGGCGGAAGTAAAATTTAAGCCTCGTTTTCGATTTCAATTAGGGATCTGTCATTTTGAACAATCCAACGTTCATCTAAGTGTTTGTGTTCTAAGGAGCTCTGTGTGTTGTATTCTTTCACGAGATATTGTTACATGTATCTAATTTAAATAAATTCAAGAAATAAAGTTTCCAATATTGTCAAGATACATATCCCATGATATTTTGTTTATTTTATATTTTGTATAATCTCATCCACTGATGTCAGGATGTATGGCCTCTTGAAAATTCTCTTATTTTTAACATGGGAAACCCTCACTTTAACAAATCCACCACTCATTTTTTTATGGTCCGAACTAACTTTATGTATTCACTCTACTTACAATGAATGGAAGGCTACCAAATATATGAATCAAAATATCTAGTGCTAACATTAGTAAAATGGTTTAGGGTTGTGATTATATTTCATGCTATTTCTTAGAGAGAGGACCTTGAACTTTATTATAGATACATATTTCGTAAACTCCAAGTTAGTAAAGATTTACATTTATATCCTGAGGTCCAGGAATGCAGTCATAAAATGCCTTATGAATGTCAATTATTTGTCCATCATTCATTCTAAAGTTCAGCTGGAAAATAACATTTTGGGGAAAAATTTACCTGCACATGTTATTTTCTGGTATAAAATAAAGTATGAAGGCCTAGTGTTAATTTCCTTGCTTTTTTTAGGAAAGTATCATTTCATTGTCTTCTTTTCGTAAATCTGGTAAGGGTTCTGGTTCAATGGGAATTACTCTAGGAAATTCTGATATTTCACACTTTCCATTTTTTCAAGTTTTCTTTCGAAGTTTCCAGACAACATGGGAGCTACATTGACCTGTTTTTAGGTTTAATAATAGTAGACAATGTAATGATACTTTCCTGAAAAAAGGAAGGAAATACACACATATGCCTTCATATTTCATTTTGTACCAGAAAATACATTGATATCACAAGACTTTCATAGTTTTCAACTGCATGTGATGATTATTTTCCAAATTCAGTAAAACAGCTGTTTATAGTGAAGGCCTCTATTAGTGGAAGACTTTGAAATCAAGTCACCCATTAAATTGTTAATGTTAAGTGAACCTCTAGCTATATTAGTGGAACATCTCACAGGTGGAAAACTATTTTGAAGGATCAAAGGTATTCCACTTACAAAAGTTTATTGTACTTAAATTATTTTTATTAATGGGAATGCAGTATCCTGATACTTATTAGATTCATGTTTTCTAAAACAAGAAAACCTACACAACTGCACTAAACAACTCAAATATTTCATTTATATATCAAATTGTACATTTATTTCATGTTTTGCGATAAAATGTACATTGTGGATTTCCTCCTGCTTTTTTATCTACACATTGCAATCTATATTAAATAATCTACACAATATAATTGGAATATTTACAAATAAAATAATAACTGTAACCACTTTAAGTTAAAATGTTAAAGTATTATAGGCCATTATATGCACAAATGATAAAATATCTGATTTACAAAGAAATGTGCCATATCTGGAGTACATGTATGAGAATTCACAGGTTGGAATGGTTCGGAGATATAACCACATGTTTTGCGAAAACGAACAAAGAAAAAACAATATACAGACTTGAAACATACAAAGCACTGATAAAAATGAACAGAATAACAATAATCTCATTGCCATTGTTATTGCCACATCTTAAATAAAAGTAGCATAATTTCCAAAAGCTCCATTTGGAAAACGACCATGAGAAAAATGGTGCATATTCCTATGTCGATGACTCGATAGTCATATATATTTTCTTAACTATTTTTTTTAGCTCAGACAGGAAATAAGCACATAACAGCACAATGGACAAATTTTGCCTAGTTCTTCAACACAGTATGTACAATCAAAACTTATAAGATAATAATATTAAGAACACAGTCAGGTTGGACGCAGAATACTAAAAAATTTAGTATAAAAGTATATATGTATTAAAAATATACATGATTATTCTGGTATTTTCACATTGATTTCCACTTAGGAATAATCAAATTACACTGTCTGTCAGTAATTACATGATTAAAATTCAATTCATATGTCACTTTTATTTATTAAATTAAAATATATACATGTAAAATGACCACTAAAGTACTCATTATATGGTACATCATATACATGTAATTACACATATAGTAAACTTTTCACAGAAAAGCTATTGCAAGTAAAAAATATGTACATTATAGTACAAAGTTTTTTGGTCCCAAGTAATCTGAGTATAACATATATAACATATTTACAAAATAGTCGATTTCACAGTTTCAAAGTGCAATGTATAAAATGAATTTACAAAATACATTTGGCAAAAGTAAGATTTTGATGTACATGTACACTGTATGTAAAATATTACAAAATCTACTATAATATTCAGTAAAATTCGGTAAAACAAGAGTATTTCATGATAAGATTGCTTGATGTCTGATTCTGATTCATCAACATAAAGTATATGCATCTTACAAGAGCTGTTATCTCAATTCAGCTTCTAATCTTGAAGATGGTCCTGGCCTGGTAAATTCAAACTTTCTGGTTTTGTTTAAAATAAAACTCTAGTTTTTATATCTGTACATCCTTTTATTGGTTTTATTCAATTTTGGTCTCTCAATATCTCTTAGTATTACCATTTTCTCAGTCAATATATAGGTCACCATGGCAACTGAATCTTCATTTGCTTAATAATAGCTCAGTCTCTCTGTATGACCATAGTTACTCCAGATCCACTATTCTTCAACACAGATACAGCTACCTCATGCTGCACATCAACAAAGTCATGCCCATTAACCTGCAATATAAAGTAAAAACATTGATTAATTAAGTAATAACATTGATTAATTTCATTGAAATATTGGACATAAGAATTGCATCACTAAATCATAGAGAAATTTTACCATTCAAATAAACTGCCAAAAGATTCCAAACAATTGATTTTGCTTTTTTAAAAATGTATGATATTAGCCAGATTTAATTGGCAATTTCTCAAATATTGGGTTTACTTTTAAATTGGTGATTTTTTAGTGTTATAAAGCATAAAAAATAAATGAAAGCATGCTAGTTCTCATTTGACAGTACATGAACGTTCTATTTCAGCAATGTGATGAAGGCTGGAATAATATCATCCTGCATTGTATGCTATATTAGCACATAATTTACATGTACAATGATCTTTGGCTAACATGTACTTGCTATTACATTGATCCATAAAATTTTTGTCAATTTTAAAGTTATCAGAATAATTTACAGTCTAGCTAACAAGAACCGGCATCTTGATTCATTAAATCACTTGTACAGTTATTATTTGAAGGTTGGGCTTACCTCAATAATCTTATCGCCAGCCTTTAGCTGCAATCCTGCAGGGCCTTCTGGTTGTACTTTAGTGACAAATATACCCTGCAATAAAAAACAAACATCAGAACTAATTTATTGATATTTTAAAGCAATTTTTCGACATAGTTATATGAAATAACAGAAGCATTTTTCCAGTGATTCAGCAATAAAATCAATATCATGCAAAATTCTAGAACTCATAAATGTGGTCAACAAATGAGAAATCGAAATTTGCAAAATTAAATACATATTAAGTGTCAAAAATTGTAAAATGTGTCACATCAAATAGTGCCCAATAAACCTGACACCAAATTTTAAAAATATAACCTAAAAGTTTTAAACAAATAAATGTGTCCTCACCATATCCCCATGTACAAATGGGTTGCCTACTGAACCTACACCTCCAGCTATAGAGAAACCAAGCCCTGGGTTCTTAGAAACATTCACCGTAAACTAAAACAGAAATATATTTATTTACCAAGGTTTTATGAATATTTAAAAACATCAGTAAATGTGAGAAATATATCGCTCTTTGCACCGAATAATCAAAAATTACTTTTAAAGTGGCACAGTATAGAAATAGATGTACTTAATTTAGTTTCTGTTAATTAATATTGCACTGTATATAAAACAAAGAAACCAGCTTGAGTCATTTGGGTGTTTTCAGAGAATGTGATAACTTTTCTTCAACCAATGACTTTAAACTTACTAGTTTTGACTGTTGTGACTGTAGTGTATTTGATGTCAACTTAATATCGACAGAATCCCCATCATATCCAGAATCTCCCTTCTGAGGTGTGCTCTCCCTAGAGTAGGGTACACTAGGGGGGTCCCTTGAGGGTGGGGGCAGCATGGTGCCATGGGTAGGAGGTGAAGGGGGGACTCGGTTAGGGGGAGCCATGATCCCACGGTTAAACAATGGACCACCAGTGCCTGTAACATACCCAAAAGATTAACAAATTAAGCCAAATGGGTTGCTCATGAATACCAAATGCAAGGTGTAGTAGAGTGATCCTATGAGAGGTTATGGCCATATTTCATGACAGGTTATGTTCACAGTTTATGACAGGTTATGGTCATATCTTAGGACAGGTTATATTCTTTATCTATGACAGATTATGTTCATATTTTATGATAGGTTTTTACTCAAATTTACTTAGGTGGTTCAAAAAGTTTTGCAGTTTATGCCATAACTTCAAGGAAAATAAGACTTTTGCAATGAAACTTGGTACACATATGTGTTATATATTTATACATTATATGGTAAAATCTGGGACCTCAATTTTGATTGGTTCTTGAGATATGGTTGCTATGGTAGCCAGTGTGGTGGGTACCATGTTCAACCCGAAATTACGTTTTTCCAAATAGTTTTCTTGCTTGAATAAACTCTTTGTAAAGTGGCAATTAGCAGGTGTAAGTGTCTTTGGGTGGCTTCAAATTCTTCAATTTATCTAACTGCAAAGGTAATCACTTATTTCCTCTAATGAAATATGTCTGTCCTGCTCTATAAGAACTTTTATCTTTTCTGCATTCACCTGGTTGACAGAGGTCCTTGGCCTTCCTTTTCTGGGGTTGTCTGAAAGACTGTCACGCTTCCCCTTCTTGAAATCTTTGTACCATCTCATTACAGTTGTGTAATTTTTGGCATCATTTTCAAATGCTCCCTGAACCAGTTCATAAGTCTCTTGCAGTCTTGCCATTTTGAACCATGCACTGTATCAGATTTCTATGCTTCCATTTCATCAATTTGGTTGGTGTGGAAACATCTGTCATTTTGAAAACTTTGGAAAAAAATTCAAAATTTCCTCACTTTTCCATTTCAATTTTTCAACTGGGTTTTGGACAGTATACATCACAAAGGAACTTATCGTGTCACTTGTCTATTGTGATGTCATAGAGCCAATTAGAAAAATTGAAGAATTTGAAGAAAAATAGCCACCCAAAGACACTTACATCTGCTGATTGCCACTTTACAAAGAGTTTATTCAATTAAGAAAACTATTTGGAAAAACATAATTTCGGGTTGAACATGGTACCCACCACTCTGGTTATCATAGCAACCATATCTCAAGAACCAATCATCGTGGTCCCAAATTTTACCATATAATGTATAAATATATAACACACATGTGTACCAAGTTTCATTGTAAAAGTCCTATTTTCCTTGAAGTTATGGCATCAACTGCAAAACTTTTTGACCCACCTAAGTAGGACAGCTTATGTTCAAGTTTTATAACAGGTCATGGTAATATTTTATTACAGTTAATACTCGTATCTTATGATAGGTTATGTGCATATTCTATGACATATTTTATGTTCATCAGAAGATGCAATTAACAGACAGATTAGTTATTTCCATGGATAACAGATGATTACCAAGGTTACAGCCTACTCTGGGGAAATAAAACATTAAAACATATCCCTGAAAGTTAAATTAACATATGAAATGCAACCAAATATAAACACACATGAGAAATGAGAAAACTGCATAATAAAATGGACGAAATACATGATTTCAAGCATTTTTGAAAAATAAGTTAGTGTCAGAATAAAAATCAGCGCATATTATCTTGAATGTTTCTTTTGTTAGAATGTTTCTCAGACATAAGTTTTGCTATGGTAGGAGTGCCAGTGTTTAAAGGCAATGGGAGATTGTGTGGTGAAACACTGCTGTCCCATCCCTAGTCTACAAAAGCAATGGCCACATAGAATATCAAAAACTGAAAAATAAAACCAATTGGCAAATCCCTTTGTCAAGTTAACTACATATTTTGGGTAAGAATTGTTTTATATGGTCCCTTATTCACAAGCCATTGGTTCACCAAATAGATCATTAGCCTTTAATTTAAGCTTAGAGTTAGTGAGTAACATACCACCATTTCTCTGGAAGTCTTGAAGTCTCTCATATATGTGTCCATAGCCACTGTCTGTAGAACTGGAAACCTGGGAATTGGGTTCAGTTTTATATGCTGCAACATCATCATATCTGTGCATCTGCGGGTTATGCAGTGGAGGGACTGTATCAAATGGATGATTGGCACTACCCTGAGATTGTGTCTCATAGGATTTATCCCCCGTTTCATACCCCCTTGATTGATCACTCATTGAATCTGTGTTGCTATGTAATGGCCCTCTTGTTGTCAGATTCAGAGGCTCTGTTGCTGGGGGATCAATTCTGAGATCGTAGGTGCGGGATTGTGACGAAGCTTGAGATGTATGTGATGTGGGAGATTCGGAGGTATGTGAAGGTGGTTGCTGATGTGTGTTAACATTCCCAGGGGCTGTAAGGTTCATATAACCTGCTAGCTCCTGATCAGGGGTCTGGAATGTCTTTGTGGGGGTCTGGAATGATTTACTGGCATTCTGGTATTTATTAGGAGTCTGGAATGATGGTTTCGAAGGTGACTGATACCCAGGACCAGTGGCTGGTGTGTTCTGGGGCTTTGTTGGTGTTTGTGGGTATGCTTGAGGTTCAGGGGGTTGAGAGTTGACCCGGGTCCGAGGTGGAGAGTAGGCTGGGGCAGATTTATAGGGTGGCAGGGGAGAGAAGACTTCCTCATCATCTCCTGCTGTATCATGTGCCAAGTTGCCCATACTCTTACTGGTCTGGAAAACAACATAACAATTTGCATTACAAGAAAGTTATATCTTAGATTTTTAGACAAAAAGACATACATGTATATAGCATATCTCTTCCTTTAGTATAATTTACCAAAGTAAATGTTACATCAATCAACATGAATTTTTGAGTCATTCTTATATACCATTCAATGCATTCATCAAAAGAATGACTTGAATACATTTAAACTACAAGTGCTACAAGATAAATAGAACTACATGAACTTATGGGCATAACTGGACAAGGATTTAAAAGAAAATAAAGAGTTTTGTGTGAACTAATATAAAGACACAAAAAGACACAATGAACACATATCCAAAAATTAAAAACTAATCATAACTGAAAAAAATAAAATAAAACTATTCTAGTTTTAGAATAATTATACTAAAAATGTATAAGGTTGTTTTGATCAATACAACACCACCAAGTTTTTTGAACTTTAAATTGTGCACATTCAACTAAAATGACATGGTGCAACTACAGTCTTAATAAAAATATGTTAAAAAATATACTAAAATAATTCAAACTACTAATGTTGGATTTTAAACTGTAGAAAACCAGCACAAGTATTATCATCATACACAGATGCAAGAAGTTGAATTAATTCTCAATTCATTCATATGGGACTGACATAATTTCTTGTGTCTGTGCATCATACTGTTAACGAATCCATCAACATTGTCCATCTTGACAATCACATTCAGTATGTTCAGTGTTGGCATTTTATGTGTTAAGAAATTAATGCAAGCTGTACTGCGTTTCATACCGTAGAGTAGTTTTGCGTTTGTGGCATGACTCTCAACAAGTGTGACCACAATAGATCACGCTGAACCTTCCAAAACATATATAAATCATTGTTAATTAGAATACTGAACAATGACTCGGTCTTAATATACACACATTCTATTAAAGGTACGATTCCCATCAAAGGTACATATTCATTTTTCAATTAAACAATGATCCATAGTACATTAAACATTCAAGTTTCTGAGTACTTTTGGTGTAAATTCCTAAATTATAGAAAAGAGCTGATAGTATGTATACAATCACTGGATTAAACTGATATACTGGCTTCTTTCCTGAAAATTTGAACATAATTGGATTAGTATTTTCCAAGATATAGCGATTTCTTTAGGTTGTTTTTTTTTAACACCCTGTACTTACATTTTGAAGAGGGGTTCTCTGCATACTCTCCAGTGCAGTGTATAGCTCCTTCTTCCAATGTGGTCGATTTGGTGTCATTGTGATTGGTTCATTTGGGTCTACCAACTGACTCCTGGTTGGTTCACCAATATGTTGCTCACTACGGGATCGATTCAAATTATTGCTTTCTCCGAATAAATTCCTTGAGGGTGTTTTACGTTCAACCTCCTCAGGGATTACCGCAGGCATGAATTGATAAGCCTGAAGGTTCTCCATCGATCGTTTATGGTTTGGAGTATATGTGTCTGCTTTCAATGGGGAATTCTGATGGTTCATATTGCTATCTACAACATTAGGTTTGTATCTATAAGCAAATCTGTCTGATTTGGGGGAGGGAGGGTTTCGTTCTGCTGCACTTTGATTCCAATGGTTGGTTTGTATGGGGTATCTATCAGATTTAGGAGAAGGCGGGTTACGTTTTGATTCATATCCGTATCCTGATGAGTTTCTATTTGTAGGGTATCTATCAGATTTTGGCGAGGATGGAGTATGGTTGGGTATAGGTTGCACTGTGGATGGGTTTACTGTACGAGTATTTGGATCATACTTTTCATCGTTTCTTATTGTAGTCCGTGTATTTGTATTATATGAGTTATTGCCATAGTTTGGTGTATTATGTGGGGCATGATGGCCCTGAAGTGTTGGGGTATATCCATTATGTGAATGTGTTTGTTGATGAGGCTGCCCCCTTGGTTGGTGTGTTGGAGGTGGTCTATACATATTGTACCTCCTAGGGTTATAGCCATCTAGGTCACTAGTGTACCCATCCCTGTGTCCCCCTGGCCCCCTCTTAATGTCAACATCACTGGAGTAACCAGATCCATGGGGAGGACGTACAGGGGCGTAGGAACTAACAGCACTCCGTGTGCCTTCCCAATCGCTCCCATAACCATCCCTGCCAGATACAGGCCTGTGTTGGTACCCTGTATCTGAGCTATATCCACTTGTCCTTTGTGCTTTGTTATATCTCCTGTGACCCATACTCTGCATGTTGTTAAACGCAGGGTTGGGAAAGTGTGCCATATTGGCGGAACGCCTCTCTGGGTATTTACCACTGGGGGTTAAGTGATCCGTTTGAGGAGTACGAGATGCAGATATCTCATTATAGCTTCTAGATTGTGGCAGTGGAGCTCTATGAGTGGATGCAGGGCTCGTACCACGAACCTTTGTATTTGACAAGAACCCTCCATCATCATCATCTCGAATAGGGGTACGTCCCCTTGAGGTTGAGGCTCCAGATGATGTCACACCAGTGCTTGATGTGACAGGTTTTGTTACCACAGGTCTTGTGACAGGCTTCTGTGGCGTAGGTTCTGGGATAGAATCTTTAATAACTGGAAGCACAAAAGTGCAAATATAGATCACACAACATGGGTTAGTCTTGTTTTCTCAAATATTTTCAAAAGGACAAACATTAGAAAGGACACATAAATTACCTTATAATATGCGTACAATATTGAAGGGACACAATCTCTATTATAAGACCATTATGTGATCAAAAATTCTTAAAAAATCAAGGATGAGTATAATTGATTTCATTGATGAAACAATAATGACATGAAGACTCCTATTCTTCATAAAATATTAACAGTTGATTCCTACTGTTTTTCAAGTTACACTAATTCTATTACCTCTCTTCAAAGACCCAGTTCCTTCTCCAGAGTGCCTCCTGCCTGGAACCCCATCCATCTTGTCTAGTTTCTGAACTGGGGACTGTTGACGGCGTATCTGCTTCTCTTTATTCTGAGTAGACCTTTCATCCTGAAATAAGAATATGTGTAAGGTAACCACTCCTCAGTTGCCAAAGAAACAACCTTTAAAAAAACAGGTTGGTCATTCAATATCTTTTAAATAGTTTTGCCAAGTTTTACAACATGTGAATGATGACTGTGATATGTGAATAATTTAAACTACATTTCTACAATGTGAGATTCATAACTACGGTTCAAACTTATTTGGAAAAGCTGAACAATAAACTTGGTATAAACATAATCCCCATGAAATAACAGTACCAAACATTGTGAAATATGTGCTGACACACAGAGGACTGACATAAGATACACTCATTGTGTACATGTAGCAGTAATAATACAAATGTGTTGGGATATCACTGAAACACAATTGTGCACATGTACATCACCATGGAAACAGGACATAAAACACACTCATTGTGTACATGTAGCAGTAATAATACAAGGTGTATTATGTGTTGGGATATCACTGAAACACAATTGTGCACATGTACATCACCATGGAAACAGGACATAAAACACACTCATTGTGTACATGTAGCAGTAATAATACAAGGTGTATTATGTGTTGGGATATCACTGAAACACAATTGTGCACATGTAAATCACCATGGAAACAGGACATGAAACACTAATATGCATATTAGTACAAACAAACTTCTTCTTATGAACAAGTACAAGTCTTGAAAAAAATGATATACACCGCAAAGTAGCTCCACATGTAGGACTACCAATACAGTAAGGCTTTGATTAATCTGGTGTAGGATCCTCAGGTTGATCACACACAGGTGACAAAACAGAACAAGTTATTATGAACATGTAAGATATTATTTTGCAAAGTGCAGTTGTGTAACATGGTGTGTGCTTTGTACCTCCTGGCCACAAACATCTTCATAGAGAATATCTGAAATTCTATGTCTACTACGTGGTGTTGATATACTCGTCTTCATGGGAGAATTCATAGCAACTGCTGATGAGTGCATATAGTCACCATAGCAACTGGCATAATCAGCATAGTCACTATAGCTAGCCATATAGTTGCCATAATTATTAGAATAATCACTTTGTGCATAGTCACCACAATCACTATAGCTTCTACCATGGTTGCGATAGTTTCGTTTATGGTTGCTATACGTATGGCCAGGGTTGCCATAGAAATGCTTATGGTTGCTATATTTATGGACATTGCCATCATTAATTTGACCTTGTATTCTTAAACTATGAACAATGTCGCCATAGTTTCTATTGCTTTGGGCAAAATTTTCATTAGTATATCCATGGTTAATATAGCTTTGGCTGCTATGGTAGTGGTCATGGTGACCAAGCTCTGGAAATGGTTTAATAGGTTTGAGACTGCAATTTATTTCTGGATAAACCTAGGATGAAAAAGCATGGTCAGTATATTTTGCCTGCCAATAAAAGAGAAGATTATTTAATGCTGAAAGACCATTCATTATTTAAATTAGTATATACATATTATGAAATGGAGTCCATATTCTTAAGAATTGGTAAAATTTCACTGTGAAAATATATATTATACATTTTAATTTCGAATATGTTGTACAAAGTAAATAAATATTTTGTTTCTCAAAATCAATAAGTAAAATATCCTAAATTGTTTTGTGAAATTACTTTACCTCTTTTGGCTTATTAGTTCTCTCTGGGGAGGGTGTGGCTCCTGGTTGAGACTGCCTGATGGCAAGATTCTGCAGGTGGCGCTGTATTTGCTTCATCTCTTTGGGGTAAGGGGTTGCTTTTCTCTCCAGCTTACCCTTGAGGAACATATAGCACTATGATTATTGGATTCATTCTCATGGTTTTGTCAGTGATAAACTGATAATAGTTTCAGAGTTCATGTTTCATTTTAATTCAGATTTTCACCCCAAAATAATATTTTCATATTAAAAATTCAATGTAAATGTTTCCAATTGACAGTTCCAAAATACAATTTTTTTTAATTCTGTTATATTGTTAGTATACCTCAACATCACTCATATCTCCAAAGTCAAAGTGTATCTGTTGCTTAGCAGCTCTCTCTTCTTCCCACATTGACGGATGGAAACTGTCCGCATCTCCGTCACTGTATATCTCTGCAAGTTAGCATCAGAAAGAAAATTCATATATTTAGCTATTCATTAGAAATCTTTTTTATTACAACCTATAAAATGTAATCAAGATATGTAATAAGATTAATAGATGTTTTAGTCAATTTAGCTCAATATTTTCTTGAGGTAAATTTTAAACTGGCATTGCCTTTATCAGACATATCTCGTCTACATGACAAGATTTACTGCATACTTTTGAACTCAGGGATAGCCTAGCCAATATTCATCATTGTGTAAATGGAAGTATACATAAGATAAGAGCAAATGTCATTAAAAATAAGGCAAACAAATGTTATTGCAAGGGTACTAAAAATATGGCTAAATGTGTAAAAAATCTACACCCTAATATAAAGCTACATCTACATTAATATTACTTAGTGTTCACTCTTCCTCAGCTAGATGCTGGTGATGCTAACTGCAGTTAGCGTAATCACAATGGCCAGTATAAAAATTCAATAATAAACAAGTATGTCTGACAGATATCAAAATTGAGGGGGAAATGGCAACGCAAGTACCAGTCACCACCTCCCCCTTTAACATAACTGGTGGGTATATGAGTATGATTAACAGTATTTGGCATCAGTATCAACATATTTTAGCTGTTGTTGAATGTTTTGAAATATTGAAATAATTTTTATCTGCCATTATAATTACCCTAACAGCGGGTAGTGTCATCCAACAGGATGGAACAGTTGTGTTCCAATTTTCACAGAATTCAAATAAAGTCCTGTTTAGATAATATAAAAACTGTGTGAAAGTGCAGTGTCAAATGCACATCGATGCATGTTTTCAAATGCTGCTCACATCATGAGTCGAGGTGTAATGCTACAACTACATACTACTTCTACCTATCTCAATCAGTTAATATCCTATTGATACATTCACTAACAAAAAGTTTTTGACATTAGTTTTTTTACATTATCTGTCAGTTTGTTTATGACACTTAAAAAGTACATATTTTCGGTCTAAAAATTTTCATCATCATTCATAATTCCAGGGGACCATTTCTGATAATGATTTAATCATAAGCCATGAGTTATGATCATTCTAGAAATGGACCCCCGAGTGTATACAATTTCTACTGGTAAAAAAGAAAAAAAGAGGAGAAAATGTTGATAGAGTTTGGCAAAGTATGAGTACAACAGAACATGCAGTGTTTTTGTTTACCTCTGGCAGCTGAAGTAAATAATAAAGAAATAAGAACAAATTAATATTGTACATACTATAAAGTATTAGAAAGAAACATCTCTCTGCTGATAGCACACAGAATACATTTATCTCTTAGCATTCATGTTTGCATCTTAATTCACAACTTAATTTTGTAACCCATTACTCTTGTGAAAACAAGATGCTGCTAGAAAAGGAATGCAGTTACAAAGAGCATATTTCACAAATTAGTAATGTTTGTTTTTATTATAAGATAAACACAAAGCAAATCTTGGAAATACTCTGGTAATAAAAAAAGTGCAAAAGGTTACTTCTTATCAATCAGAATGAAAGAACTGTTAATTTATTTAATAAATATTCAAATATTGTAAAATATGTACCTTCAGTTTCTTGAGATGGTTGCTGTGGTAACAGATAACATGTAAGTTTCCTCTGTCCAGTCTCAGAGTTCAACTCAGTCTGAAGTCTAATAAGTGGCTTCGACTGGAACAAAATAATTTAATTACTTTATTCATTTTATTTATTAACTATGGTGTATCAACCAAAACAGGTAGATGGATATATATGTTGCACCCAGATTTTTGTTTAAGTTACATTTCTTTCCAAAAATCCTGTACCTGATTTTCTGCCAGCCACAATGCTTGCAAATACTTGAGCTTGGTCAGGCTGAATGGTAAATACTGTATGGCATTGTCACTTAAGTTGAGCACTCGGAGTTTAGGAATGTGTCCTATCTCATCAGGGATGAACGTAAGTTTATTGCTCCGTACTGACAGAATAGTCAGGCCTTTACAGCTACCCAACTGAAATGAATGAAAAAGTATGCATACAAAACAGCAAATGATATTTAAAGTTTAAACTATAGGATCTGTATGTATAATCTGAACAGTGAATGCATAATTCAGTTTAATAAAAACAGATCATACAGATGTTCACTAAAATCACAATTTTGTCTGAGAGTGGATACTTTGCTAAAATGAAGTTTACCCGTGATCGGCTGATGATCTCATTCATCTTAAACACATATTAAAAAGTCATGCAATAAAATATACCTCTGGTGGAATGTCTACAAGGAAATTTTCATCGGCATAGAGAGTCCGTAAATGTTGTATAAGGCCTATGCTCGGAGGGAATTCTTCAATATCATTGCAGCTTACATTCAATTCTGATAGTGACTGTAACCTGTAAAAACATTTAACATGCAATGAACAAAAATTCTCACTTTATTATTGCTTTCCAAGGGGTAGTACTACCTTTATTATATTTCCAAAGAAAATATAAATACCATTTAAACTATAAATTCCACTTACCCTCCTATTGAGAATGGCAGGGATGTGAGTTGATTGTCATCTACCTTCAATGTAGTCAGACTATCCAAACGACCTGCAATATAATACACATTCCACATACACATTCCAATTTTCTGTATGAAAAGTCAATGTTCTGCAATTTTTGCAAGTATTACAAGTGTACAGTACAAGTATTTTGTGATTCATAGCTTTATGACATGTGCATGAATTCTACAATTTACTGATAGGAGGAAAGTTCTGATAAATCAATAGAAAATATAAATTTTGCAAAAATGATGTGTGCTCCTACCTATGGACTCTGGTAACTCAGTGATAAGGTTAAGTGAGAGATGAAGATCTGAGAGAGATTCACAACCCTCTATCTCTGAAGGTAACTTCTCAATACGATTCTTCATGGCATCAAAGAACATCAACTGTTTTAATTTTCCAATCTCCTGTAAGTGAAGGAATATAACTACTCAATCGCGAATGATCACACCATGGACTATATCTAATACTCTAAAAGTTCAAAAATACAGTTCAAATGGTCTGATTTTTTAGCTATAGTTTTGATTCACTTGATTTTTAATTTTACAACTAAAAATTGGTTGATAAACCCTCATCTACACAACAATCAATCGTGGCATGCATTACATTCCTTTTAACAGTTGTAGCCATTTTCAATTCAGAATCCCACAATCACAAAAAATGTATCAAATAATTTGACCAGATGCACCTTTCACAATCTTACCTTTGGTAATTTGGTGATCTGGTTAGAGTCGCACCACAGTTCCAGTAAGGAAGAAAGATGGCCGACAACTTCCGGCAGTTCAGTGAATTCATTGTTCCCAATGTCCAGCCTCTCCAGCTCTGTTAGTCTTGATAAACTGTTGGGCAGTGTTTTTAAATGGTTCTCTCTCAGCTCTAGAATCTTCAGTTTTGATAGCCTATAAATATGAACATAGCATGTACATGTAGTTGCATACAACTTATTGTGGGATTTGATCCCTGACTATTACAACTGCTTTTCCAGATTTGATACTGAGAAGATATAAATCTCAAATAGTTTTCATAGCCTTATATGGAAGTCTGAATGAGAATTGATGATTGCTACATGAAGGCAAAAAATTCAGATTTTTATGAATACAAATTCTTGTATCATGCCTACATATGTGTGAATTATTGATTTCGTTCCAGGTAGCCTTCAGAAATTGATACTTATTTGGTAAATGAGCTGAATAAACTTTCAAATGAAATATAATTTTGGCCAGTGATGGTCCAGATGGGCCAGTTATTCATTCTCCTGCCAAATAAATATATTTTTGGATCAGAGACAAGAAAAACATTTGATCTTGAATAGTATTGAATAGTTTGTAATATAATACCCTGATGTTATTGGGAAAATCTCATTCATAGGACAAGTAATGTTGGCAAACTGCATACTCTCAACAGATGACTTTAGAGAAGATACAATTTAACGCCATTCAACATTACTTCAGAGGTTAAACATATTAAACTTTGAATGGCCAAACTATAGTACAATGTACTATTTTCTGATTACGACAAACACGGGGATATTTTCATAATGAAGTATACCATTGGAAAAATCTAAATTCACTTTTTTTCCTTTTACCCAGAACATCCTATGACTAGATGCACAACCTTAGAACATAACAGAGGATTCAATAGTTTTGATGCTGATAATAATACTTTGATGATCTTTACTGCAGGCTCCATGACATTGGGGGTTAGTGTGAAAGAAATGTTAGGGCCTAATTGGTAGATAATGAAGTGTCATGATTTTCTAAACTTCACATTTGTTGAAAATAGGCTAAATCTAAGAAATATATCTAATTAAATCAGCGGAGACAAAGTTGAGATATTACAAAGGATAGTTACCTTCCAAAGTTGCCAGGTAAGTAGTCCAAGAAGCAGTCATTCAGGTAGAGATGGGTCATACATAGTAGCTGGGTAAACCCTTCTGGTAGCCTGCAATCATACCAATATATAAAATATGATCTAAAATGTTAATAGGTGTTAAAAACAAAACAAAATGTTGAGATTTTATTTTGTAAATCTCAACATTTTGTAAAATATGATGAATATGCAAATATACCAATATGTAAAATACTAAGAATGCTTTCATACAAAGCCTTATATTATTAAAACTTTAAGAACAGGCCTTGTTTACAGTACATAGATATTGTATTAACACTGTTAATATACATCACAGTATCTAATTGTAATGCTTATTGTATTAATTGTGCCACTTTGAATAAAAAATATAAAATTAATTTTATAGATGTACATGTATTTCCAAAATGTTGACTGCTGATTTTGGATCAGCTTTCATGGTAAACTTTGAGTGACATATCAATGTTGACAGAGAAAGAAGTTTAATCGTTTGTTCACTTACTTCCCAAGTGGGTTAATATTTGCTTCAACATGGCGTAACAGCTTACATTGTTTGATCTGGTCTGGAAGGTCTATGATACCTAGCAATGAAAACACAAATTGATTTTAATATGAAGCGGGAGGAAGGTCTTTGTATTTGATATATAGGAAACATAGAGAAGATTGTCTGTGGAAACTGAAATGAAAGCACAAATAAACACAGAATTGAAACACAAATTGGCAATAAACCACATACTGTAAAACCTACTAAGCAGATTTAATGGAACATATTTGGTACATCAAAATGGTGTTCCATATAGATCTTGCACCAAAAGAGGTTCATTTCCATTAAATGAATCAGTAATTGGGATTTCAAGGAGAGTCCATATACAGAGGTGTTCCACTATCAGCTCTTGGTGTTCCACCTTGCAGGATTTAATGACACAAGATCCACTTTTTGGCTATGACTGGTGGTCTTTGAATGTGTATTTATCATTCCTTACTACTTACCATTCTTGCTAATGTCCAGATATCTCAAATTGATGAGACTGGCTATGGCAGGAGGGACCACTGTCACCTCATTGTCAGCAACAGTCAACTTCTGCAGTCCATGGCAGTAAAATAATTCCTGGAAATAAACATGCAAAAATATTAAATATATGTTCAATATTGAATTGTTTATTATATTTTATTGTTCTTTCTAATTTTAGCCTGAGTGGGTATGTAATTTTCTTTTTTTATGGTTCAGATCAAAATTGTCAGTTTTTCACAATTTCTCTAATTTTTAGATTGGATGGAATCCTCTTTTGATATCTCAAACTTTTATGTTTAGGAGATCACTGCACATTTTATTAAACTGTGTCATTATTAAGTAATTAGTAAGACCTACAGTTTTAAAATGAAGCATCATTCATAATACATGGTTGGGAACCATCAATATTGGGCTCATGGATTCTTAAAACATACAGTACATTTTTTAAGATAACAGCTTTTCCATATTAACCCAGCAACACTGGCATAGTATGATGATGTTTTATATCTGAACAGATGGTGAACGCCTTATAAAATACTCCTTTATGAAATGTCAATAAAAACTCACTCTCCGCAGCTCCTATTGAAAGTTTACCAAAGAATCTTTAGTGAAGAATTTATAGCCAGAAGGGGGTAGAGAAATTGCTAAACGTATACCTGCATATTTTTCTATACAGATTTTTAAGCTTTTGGATATATGAAAATATGAAAACAAAATTATGTATTACTTTTCAAGGTGTCAAAATAAATAAGTTGATGATTTTTCTTGATATATTTTTTTGTATTTTTAGTGTTATTCATGTTATATGTTAAAATAAGTCGATGGTTGTCTACCATTGAAAAAGTGTAAATTATTTCTTCTTCAGGAATCTTTAAATTTGAAAACAAAACAATTCAATATGAACCACTTGAAATGCTAAATGAGTTCTCAGATTATGCTATAAATTGTACTTCAAATGGATACTAAATTCAATGAAAGCCCAAGTGTTTATTTTATGATGTCCTGAAACAATCAAACATTCATCTCATAAAAAGGAATCTATTGTAGATAAAAGTACCTTTATAACCTCTTCACAATCAAATAACATGGCTTCTTTGGGCAATAAACACAAGGCTAAAATAATGTATCAATTTGACCTAAGATAGTCCAAATATTATATTTCAATCATTTATCAGTCACCTGTTCTGACCATTGAGTAAAAACAAAACTTATGTCCCTATCTCACTCCATCATTTAGACTTCTTTATGGTTGGTACATTTTTAATGAAGGAAATGTTAATTTCTCTGACAGATTGGTATAATTTAGTAGTATCACTGTTTAATGGTACAATATGTTTAAATCTTAATGCCAATCTTAACATACAGGTGCAAGTGAGGTATTAATAATTTATGCACAAATAATAATAATCAGAGGAAACATATCATTTGCAGATATATTGTATGTTTTATTATATTCATATATAACATTCAATAAGCACATGATCAATTTTCCTTAAACATGATGGGCATATAATAATGGCAAAAATAGTGTATTAAACATAAAACATGTACTTTAGGAACACAACCTATTTTATCAAAAGTTAAAACAATCAATTTTTGAAAGTAGATAACATCCATTCATTTTTTGTTTTGAATGTCAATGGATATCCTAGTAATATTCCAAAGACGGCTATTGAGATATCTGCATAACCTTGTGCTAAAATTTAATTAAACTGATCTCAATGTTGATGGCCAGGTGAATGGGAGTGTGAAATGACAGTGTTCAATTACTATTGAGAGATTATCTTATAAATAATGGCAGGCTATTTATCAGGTAGCATTCTACGTACAAAGATAATTAATAGATTCCATACTGAACAAAGATAATACAATATTGGTAGAGAGGCAATTTATGAACAAGATTAGAAAATATTAGTCACAGTTTTATCAAATCTTGAAGTCAAAATTGGTAATATGAAGAAACCAAGAACACACTTCAATTCTATTTCCCGAGGAGAAGAAAGGATTAAAATGAGCTGCTGACGTAACTTCTTGAAAAATATCATGATTTTGCAAGATATTTTTCTAATGCCATTCTTTGTCATACCTATTTTCTAAAGATTAAGATGTATGAAAGGTCAGGAAACACAGATCCAAGTGTTAAGTCTAATTATTTTCTTGACTACTGACCCTACTGGTTTCTTAATGGTCAGACTACACTTTCTACCATTTTGACGACCATATGCTTTTTTCAGATGAATGTAACTCATTCTAAACATGGTCTATATCTTTAAATTTTGCACAAAAGGTGCTTTACTTTACCAAGATTAATTATTGAGTGTTATTTTTTCTTTAGAATGTACATATAACTAGAAAATTGAGCGGTCTTCTTTTCAAAATTTCAAAATAATCTCATCATGCGGATCTGCCTTAACTTAGACTGACTGACTGGGAAAAAGGAAAAAAGAAAGGCATTAACCCAGGTATACATATATACAGATGGTGTTTGTGAAATACATACTATAATAGTATTTCACATTTTCAGTAACAATATTCATTCAGGTCTCCAGTCAGCTGTTCCAGACTACTCAGGTACCATGTTTGTAGATACTAGTCAAAGCTTCCATGGCATTACAATTGCAATGCTTTTTAACAGAATGAAAGAATGTCAGAACTTACTCTTGGTAAATCTCTTATGGAGTTTGAGTCCAGGAACAGCTCCTCGAGTGTCCTTTCTGAGTTAAACACTTCAGCAGGCACATGTTCTAGTCCTGAGTGGCGGTAATCTAATGTAGTAATCTCTTCCACGGGAGCCCGCAAACAACATCCAAACTTCCCCATCTCTAGGGTGCTCCTGAAGAACAAAGATGAAGGGTTATAATATTCAATAAATCACATTATAATATTAACAATTTCCATAAAAATGAAATAAATGGGCTATAAAAGCCGAAAAGAAAATCTTCATAATCTTTGACACACAAACAAGTAAGTGGTTGATAAAAAATAACTCAACTATAAATATGAAGTGAGTTCAGAGTCTAATATGCAACAATACGATTTTACATCATATACACAAGTATACTCTAGTATATACTATATATATATCATGCCAATCTCAGACAGCTAGATGTACAAAGCTATTCATCAACAGTGTTCTTTTGACAGCATTAGACTTGTAGTATTGATTGAGCACAGTTTCCCAGGTACAATGTCAAAGGACTGTCTATTAACAGCTGCTAAGGGTGATCAATACTGTTAAGTTAGTTGCAGTCGGCACACATATTTTAAGAAATATTTAAATGAAACTTTGACAAACCATGATATATGAGCTAAATCATTTAAAAAATCATGATCAAAATAACTCTTTTACAGTGGTATAGATTACTATCTAAAGGTAAAATCAAGCTTTGCTGAAAAAGGTTATAAGAAATGAGTTAGGTTTAAATACATGTATATGTACCCCTATTTAGATGATGACATACATATCCTTTTATCATCACTAAAAAGCAATAATCACCACTTTAAACATTAAAAGTTATTTAATGTGTCCAACTCAGATCATATAAATCCAGTTTACCACATCATCAGATAAGAGGCCATTTGGGCATTTGCCCTTTAAAGATATCAACTAACAAGTAAAATCAGTTTAGAGAGATGAAATCTAATCTGATAACATAGATACACACTCATGAGAAGTAACCTCAAATATATTATTTCAGTTTTTTCATAATAAAAAAATATGTTATACAGTTTTTCAGAAACAGTTCACACGTACAATTGTACAAGTATTTAAAACATATATATATTCTTTTATTGAACAACTTTTTGATGGCAAGATTGACAACTTTTTGATCTAAAGACAAAAAAATTAACAATATCTAAATCTATTCAAAAAGTGCTTCTTGATTCGAAAAAGAATCACCCTTTTCATGTACATATATGAATATCCAAACAAAAAAAAGATGTATGAATTATAAATGATACCAATGCATGATGAAAGTGGATTACTAATGGTGTCTGTTCTGACTATGACAGATAAATAGAAAAATCCAGGTGGCCTAAAATCTCAATTAAGCAATGCCACGATCATAATATAATCTTATTTGAATTTAATGATCAATGGCGATCTATTGTGCTTTCATCATAGGATATGACACATATAGCTCAACTTCGTCTCTGAGTGTTCATTGCATGAGAAGGGAATGCTATTATCATAGAGGTGACACTGTAGCATAACTGTCACACCTATTCGTCATGAACTATTGTCTATCTGTCTATGTCTTGCCTTAAGCCAAATATAAAACATAGAATATTTGATTTTGAAATTATTCCAGAATTTCTACATCTGTGTACCTTTTGCCTTCGTTCGACTACGCTTCTCATAAAGAGAGTTTATAACTAGACTCTGCGTGCAGGGTAACATTTGTGACCTATTCAAGATTAATGATATTTTTCAAATAAGGTTGTATTATTACATGATTTCTATAATCATGGGCCTCTCTTTGTGACATTAAATGTTTGCCCACTGTGTAAATTGACCACCTACAATCTATCTCAGTTATGCCAGCACAACAAAGTAACTTTAATTTAACAAATGACAGATTGTAAAATTAACTATCTAAACTAATATATATTATGTTATATATTAGCAACAGAAGCTTATTTTCTCAGTGGAGTTTCAGTCTATTTTAAAACATATTGTTACTCTTTGTAGTTTGTATCTGTTTGACTTAGCTTCTTAAAAGATAGCTTCGTCTATACTCTTCTAAGTAGAAGATAAACATTTGAATTCGCCAAGCCAACCAGAGCTTCTTGTCACCAGATGGACAGTTTTCTAAATATGGTCATTTCGTCTGACATCATCAATGACCCAGTATTGACCAACACTGAAGCATTATTTGAATGTGTATGTATCTGAGAGGTTGAGAAAATATCAGCACACATCTCTGATTTGAATTAATTTATGACCCTGGCTGTGGTGGCTGTGAAGGCCTGTAGAGGCAAACCTCACTTCTTAAAGCCCTGATTTCCCGAAATCTCCTGTTAGTGTTGTGGAGGCATGGTCTCTGAACTGTAAAATGCTCTAAACTGTGCAGAGGTTGGCTTAGAAACTCCGTCCTCAGGGTATCTTGTAATATACACTTTGAGTGTTCTATTGAATTTAGCTTGATATCTACCCTTTGCATTTGTTTGACTTCACTTCTTAAAAGAGAGCTTCGTCTTCACTCTTTAAGTTTACAATAAATCTCTGATCTCACCGAGCCAATCAAGGGTCAGCGTGGTAGATGTGAAATGATTTATTACCCGAGCTGTCACAGGCACCAATCTTTTAGGCGGGACTGCTAAACTGATATATAGTCTATACTAGGCAGAGGGTAGTTTACAACTAGACTGGGTACCTGATATCTTATTCACTGTCACATTCAAAAACTGATGAACTAGTCTCTTCTGCCTCAATCTGGGTAACTCATCTGCTAAGTTATCATGGAAAAGAATCCACCAGGACACATCATGTAATGGTAAAGCATGCCACCTCACTTCTTAAAGCCCGATTTCCCGAAATCTCATATTTCTAGTGAAAGAGAAAGGTGTGATGAGTGTCAAGATAATCAGGATGATCAGAATGCATCCTGCCTAAGGAACTACCAAAATCATCAATTTTGACGTATTACAGATATTGAAGAACTTTGGATTTCTTTGAAATCATCTAAAAATGTTCACAAATACGGATAATCTAAAACTAATAGGTGTACATATTGTATTACAAATCCAATTTTATAAAACTGTGATAATGGCTGTAGGCAGAACCTAAAGCAAATTATACATGCCCCAAAATCCAGCCGAAGTGCTTATAACAATACTGAACATTGGTATTACTTTTATCAAAGTATTATTGAGACCAGAAAGTTAATTTAATGCTAAATAGGCTAATGGGAAATATAAATTGCATTAGTAAATACTTCCATTCTTCCTTTCCTTCAAGTATGTTGTTCATTTTTCAGAGACTTCAGTCCCTTTCAATTTATTAACAGAAAGTTTTGTTAAGGTATTGTACTAATACTCTAAAAAGGTTGTTTTTAATTCTAAAATCCACCTGGGCCTTTATTTAACTGTCTCTAAGTACACTCTAAGCCCTTAGCATAAATCCTACAAAATCTCAAGATTTTGAAATTACAAGAGTTCTGAAAGTTTAAAGACACTTTAATATTACTGAGAAACTTAAGAGCAATGGGTAGATTTGTTTGATAGTCTAAGGTACATGCTGCTTATGTAACATAACAACATATTGGGGTGTATGGAATAAGTACATATAACCTTATATTAAGACACATGAAGTAATGAATAATGAAAGATAGTTTTGCATCATATCTCCACATTCTCCAGTCTCACACTTGGTATATTTTTCATCAATGAAGCTGTATTTGAGAAAGGACAGGTACATTGATATATACCCTCTTAGTAACTACTCCTCTTGAGTAACTTGATTTTGCTTCTTTAAAAGGGAAGTTCATCTGCATAGTAATTATTAAGCTCTGAGCCTGACCAAACTAGAAAACAGCAACGCCACGGAGTAGCAATTCCCACCAAACAAAATATGATTTGACAAAAAATGGACATCTTGAAAATGACTTCTTGAACAGAGCTCTACTGTCCCTAGGTATCAGCATATGAAATTTGAACCAAATCTGTCCATTGGTATTTGAGTTAGATTACGTTATTTTATGAAAAAATTCATTTTAAAATTCTGTAGCCATCTTGAAAATGTCTCCTTGAGCAGAGCTTCTTTGTCTCTAGGCATCAGCATATAAAATTTGAACCAAATCCAGTGTTCGCGCTAGCCATTTAAATTTCTGAGTCCCAGGGACGCAACACATTTGAAAAATGTGAGTCCCGTCTAATTTTTTTTGCGTCCCTCATATTTTGTTATTAAAGTGAAAGTAAAGTGGGCGATAATAGAGTGCTTCCGCTAAAACGGGATAAAAATGACATATATTGTAATTCTATACATTCTCCCGATAAATATCTATCATTTGGTCCTTTTCACACAACTCTTTACTAATCTTATATCAAAATTCTCCGAAATGAATGAAAGAAATATTCAAATTAAGAGTTGTTTTCACATTTTACCAACCAGCGATCTTCAAGGTCGTGTCAAGGTCGTGAACTTTTTGTTTCTTCTAACATTTTTCCTTACTCTGACGACTTTAAGATAAAAAACGAGCTATCATTAAATATATTGATGTATAACATTAGATCGATATCTAACTGTTCCTAGTCAGCTAGTGGAAGTAATTAAGATTATCGTGAAAAACAAATCCCAATTCTCAATTTTGAAACTAATGGTGCCCTCCGGAATGACTCGGAGGGCACCATAGCCAATCAAATGCTGCGTTTCAGACTAGAAACCCCGCGAATATACTGAGACACTTCGGTAGCTAATCAGATTTGCCGACATAAACATTACCGAGATCAAAGAAGTAGACGATTTGAAAATTCTTCGGAAAATCATGTTTTATCACTTCTATGCTGCAGTAAAAGTTACCTGATGGTGGTGTAGAATCTTTGCGTCCCAGGGACGAAAGTTATTTCTGATTTTTCCGTCCGACCTCTTGAAATTTCCGTAAAAACGAGAAAAAACGGCGTCAACGCGAACACTGCAAATCCGTCCACTGGTATTTGAGTTATCAAAGATTACATGTTTTTACGAAAAATGGTGGCCATTTTGAAATTTAGCTGCCATCTTCAAAATATTTTCTTAAGCAAAGCTTCTTTGTCCCTAGGCATCAACATATAAAATTTGAACCAAATCCATCATCTAGTATTTGAGTTATCAAAGATTATATTTTTTTTAGC